GGGGGCGGGGTGGCCTCCTGCCGTGGGGCTGAGCTCAGCTGCCCTGTTGGATTTGACTTCAATAAAGTTTTCTATTTTTGACCGGTTGTGCCTTATTTTCCCTACTGCCCTTGAAGATGCTCTTGCTCCCAGCAGTTTCCCAGGCACGTTTTCCACATTCTCAGCTACCAGAGCACCCAGGCCCCACAGCACCCAGAAGTGATGCTCACGTGGGCCAGCCGTCTCCACAAGCCCTCCACCGTGCCCCAGCGTGGCCAGTCCAGAGGCTTCATGGTACTGACCCCCCTCCCTAGATTGACATCTCCCATCTCCAGTCACTGCCTGGCCCTCTAAGGAGACAGCTTCCTCCAGGACATGGTTCACATACGTACATACACACACACACACGTACATGTGTGGGCATGGAGGTAGTCTGAGCCACGGATCAGCCCAGCTTTCTTCCACCCCAGCATCCCCCTGCATAGCTTCTCCTGGTTCATCCCCATGTCCTTTTGAGACCCACCCACGTCCCAAAGCCAGCACATGGAGGAGCAGATCCCTGCTGTGCGGTGCCTGGCTAGCATGACCCAAATCCTGCCAGCGAGGGCTGGAAGATGCCTGCCTCGCCCTCCGCAGTGCTGGAATGAGGACGCACACGGTTGCAGATGGAGCCTTGGTGCGTCAGCAGCACCGGGAGGAAGCACCCGAAGCAAGGTGCTCCCCCCACCCCGGGATGCGATAGGCAACCCTGCAGTGACGAGGGGTCCTCCCAGGCAGGCTTGCTGGCAGCGGCGGGGCTGCGGGAGGGCGATGGAACCAGGAGGCCATGCTCCCCATAAAGATGGCTCTACCCCTCCCGGCAGGCAGGTTGGGGGCGATGCTGATGCCGTGGGGCTTGTTGAGGCTCTTGTCTCCAGCTCCTGGTAGGCAGGAGCAGCGCAGCACCCCTTCCCCAGGCCCTGGGTGGGGCCATCCTACACCCCCCTTCCTCCAGCCAAGCATTGCGTCTCAGGGACCCCCTCCCCGGCCACACCTTCCTCTTTCTCATGGTTTTTCTTTCAAACTGGGACAGACATCCCTGCGCCCGTCACACCAGCTTCACCTCTTCCCCAGGGGCTCCAACCGGCCGCACCAGGCTGCTGGAGAAGAGGAGCTCTGGCGCTGGGAGAGATTAGATCATCCGGGGAAGCCAGTGGTTCTGGCTTCGGTGGTTTCAGCCCTGTGCCAGCCTTGGCTCTCACAGCCTCCTAGTTTGTTTTGCTAACAGCATAAGGTTTTATCTTGAACCGTCCAGGAAGTGTCTGGGCCTCCTAGGCAGGCAGGGCTGGAACCTGCGGGGAGATGCGATGGCTGCAGAGGAGGAAAGGAGACACCAGCAACCACCTAAATAACTAGTCCCTGCAGGGCTGGGCAGGGCAGTCTGGGGGCTTGGCTCAGCGTTGCTATCTGCTTCCCTTTGGGAACTTTCTGAGAGAAGTTTCCCTTCCTTACTTGTCCTCAGCAGCTCTTTGATGAATCTGGGGTGAGAACGCAACCTCTCAGACGCTGGCGTGGGGAGCGTCTCTTTCTTCTGCCCGTCTCCCAGGCTCCATTCTTTGGGGCTTTTTTATACTGGGGGGGGGGTATGCTACATCCTTTTCCGGCTGCACAAACCCAAGACTGCCACGGGTCCTTACAGCCCCCCATCTGAGAAGCTGGCTGGAGTGGTGTTAACTTCAGCGTGCTACTGCCAGCTCAGCAGAGGTGCCTGCACCTGCCTACAGGCTCAGAAGCACGGTGCAGTATTAATTACTCTCTGCGGGGGGGGCGGATAAGAAGAATATTGTAACTCTAATGGACAGAAATGAAATTGTCTTGCTTCAGAATTTAGCTTAGAGTCTCCATAAATTGCAGGTTTAGGTGTCGGCAGATGTCTGGGAAAGTCTCCTACTGTCCTGGGTCAGTGGATTTTCTCAAGGTCATTCACGTGGAATGAGCTGATAAATGGATCCAGCAACGAGCTGCAGATGGAGCTGAGGGTTCATGGGGGACCTGCCCTGTTTTTCCCCAGTTTCAGAAAGACACTGTGCTGGGAGCAGTTCCCAGGCACTGCAAATCAGCTCCTGCTCCTGGGATCAATTGTGCTTGGTTGAGATTTGGCTCTGGCGTGCAGAGACCGAATGAGGGAGCGTGTCGGTGAGGTCCCGGGGGCTGCAGTGCCGGGGC